AAAAAAAAAAAAAAACCTCAACATATAGAGCAGATAAAAGAGAAAGTGCTCTATCCCTCCCTGATCTCTCTCTCTCTATCACTCAGGCTGGAGTGCAGTGTTGCCATCACGGCTCACTGCAGCCTCAACCTCCCAGGCTCAAGTGATCCTCCTGCTTCCGCCTCCCAAGTTCCTGGGACTACAGGCTCATGTCACCACTCCTAGGTAATTTTAAAATGTTTTGTAGAGATAGAGTTTTGCTGTGTTGCCCAGGCTGGTCTCAAATTCCTGAGCTCAAGGGATCTACCTGCCTCGACCTCCCAAAGTGTTGGGATTATGGGTGAGAATCACTGCACCCGGCCTCCGCCTGGTCTCTTAAGACGAAAGTTCTGCATTCCCTTACGTGTTTAAGATGGGGTTGTGGGAAGAGGGGCTAGCTGTGGCTTTGCAGGCATGGGGAAGGGTCCAGAATGAAGGGGTTTGTCTGAAACCAAGGCAATCCTCTTAAACTTGCTAATCAGACCATAAGCCTATTAGGTAATTAACCCCTCTCTGGTGCCTTCCTACCAATCATCCTGACCCCTACTGAATTCATTCTCTTCCATGGATTCACGGAGATGTCCTGTTCCCCACCCTGACCCTAAACTTGTCACAGATACGGGGTCCTTTATCTCTGGAAGGCTCAGAAAGATGGGGAGGTAATTCTTACTAATCCCTAGGACTCCATCCTCTCTCTGCTTCTTCAATTTCACTCCCCGTCTTCTCTCGAGCCAGAGCATCTTCCCCCGCTTCCCTCTAAGGGTGGAAGGTTATCATCTTCTCTGAAGAAAACTGGTGTCACCCTCTTCCCCATTTTCTGCCCCCTCTCTTTTGTACTTCTTCAAACCGTGCCTGAGAATTTTTGTATGAAACAGCAGAAACAACCCTAGACTAGGAATGACATTCGTGCCTGGGTGTGGTGGCTCATGCCTGTAATCCCAGCACTTTGGGAGACTGAAGTGGGTGGATCACTTGAGGTCAGGAGTTCAAGACCAGCCTGGCCAACATGGTGAAACCCCGTCTCTACTAAAACTACAAAATTTAGCTGGGCGTGGTGGTGTATGCCTGTACTCCCAGGTCCTTGGGAGGCTGGGGCTGGAGAATCACTTGAACCTGGGAGACAGAGGTTGCAGTGAGCCAAGATTGTGCCATTGCATTCCAGCCTGGATGACAGAGTGAAACTCTGTCTCAAAAAAAAAAAAAAAGAGTGAATTTTGTCACTGATGGGCTCTATGGCCTTGGACAAGTCACCTCACCTCTTTGGGCCTCAGTTTTCCTAATCTATAAAATGGGAATCATGATAGTGCTACCTCATGGGGTTATTGTGATTAATTAAATGACAAAATATAAGGAAAGGTACTGGGGACGGTCCCAGACACATAGAGCATTTGAGAAATGTTAGCTATCATCATCAGTATTGCCCACACCATGAACACAAGTTCAATGCTTATCACAGCATCAGACACACAGC